ATGACCATTTTGTTCTGCAGGTACTGGAGGTCAAAGGGCAGAACAGAGCACGGAGGCAAATAACACCGAGTCGATTATGATCTGCGAGTAAAAATGTTGGACGATAAGATAAAATAACCTGAAGTTCTACAACATACACTAGTAAAGCTAGTGTCCAAAGAAGGAAAAGATCAGCAGCGTCCTGGAGCAGTGATGGGCTGGTGGTGGCCTCCTTGCTGAGCCAGGACCCTGCCTGCCCCCCCTCCACCCCCCCATGACCTGCTGACAGCTGCAGATAGAAGAGATAGGAGCCTGGAGCTGTGAGAGGGACAGGTGAGAGAGGGAGGAGTCGGGAACACTCAGTCAGCAATAACAGCCCGAGGACACAGAGATGGCAAGACTGAATGTTCACTTCAATGTCTTGTCTGTCTGACTCGCAGTAGTTGCCCGTCTTCGTAGGGCATGTGCGATGTCCTTTCTTAAATGGCTTATTGCTACAGTCGGACGACATGAAAGCTGTCGCTTGTAGTGAAAGGCAAACAGCAAATGCCAAATTGACTCTAATGTTCTCCTCCCTCCTCTTTACATGGTCACCTCTTTGCTCCAAAGTTACTCAGGATTTCCCCTACGGAGGGTTCTGTTGTGTGGTCCATTTATGGGGCAAGGGGGCAACCTACGCCCCGCTCATCGTCCCGTCTTGATGAATGGGCTCTTTGTGGGCCTGTGGAAACAAGCTTGAATCCCTCCGTCTTCCCTCTACCTCCATATGGTCAGGCCTATACATCTCCTGTAGCCCGGGGCCACAGTGAACATCTGCCGCTGCCAGAGTGCACTCAGAGCAGAGCGCTCCACCAACTCTGCGACGCAGATGTTTCTGTCCGGCTTTCGTTTTCATATCGCCACTCGATCTAAGCCAAGCTAAACTGGCGTGCTTGTAAAATAGCCCCTCGCAACGCTTCATCTGCTTTATATGGAGTGTGTATACGTGTGTGTGGCTGCCGTCGCTCTTGGCAGGTTCCACTTGTTTGACCCATATCTGAGCCGCTGTTCGTAAACAACCAAAATTCCACGGCTCTGCAGTTTCCCTTTTAACTGATTTTCTTGTTGTTTGCTTTTGTTTTAAATCCTGCTGATGAAGGGAAATGTCCTGCATCATGACTCTCTTCTGAATATTATAATAGGCGCCGTCTCAGGAAAGTTTTCAGGCCAGTTTTTGACATTTGGAAAAGACACAACGTCTCATTTATGAAGTATTGTTATAAAAAAGTATAACAATACTGACCTCGACCTCTGAAACCTTTAACGATTAAAAAATCTGTCACTGGTCAGAAAAAGGAGTAAAAAGTCATGGCATTTAGAAACCAGATGTTTTTGGTTTTGCTTTTTGTTTTTTTTGTCACCAGGAGGACGGTGAATGCCTGTGGAAATAAAGCTCCACAAGGACTTAATTAAAACACCGTACTGTGTAAACGTTTATCCAAGCCTTCTATCCCATCAGGGGAGATTTAGCACCGTTCCCATTGTTCTTAATGCCCACTCCTCGCTGCAGAGTGACTGATGGGTAAACGCCTATACCTGCATAAAGGTGTGATTGATGGCTAAGCACAGGGTTGTGCCCTTAGGTATTTTCTGCAAGTTGGTCGCTTTTGCTGCTTAGTAAGTGGTAAAACTTTCTGTCTCCTGAAAAAACCCTGCCGTGAAATAGTCCAAAAACCTGAGAATTGTTTCAGGCTGTTTCTGTCCGTGTTTTTTTTTTCTTTTTTTTCAGCTCTGCGAATTGAGATGCATATTAGATTTATATGAGGAACTGTAGGACGCCTGCAAAACTCATCATGACTGTGCTGTATTTTGTCTTGGAAAGTAATCATGTCCATTACACAGATTTATAGTACGTACTTTGATCAATAACTGCCTAGATATCCACGGCATTTAAAATGTGGCTTCGACTTCTCACTTTTTTTTATTATTATTTTTTATTTCGCCACCATGTCACCAGAGGCAATTTTCTGTCAGAAAGTGGAGATGGATTGGAATTTTCTCTTCTTTTTAAGTGGTGGTTTTTCAATAAAAAAAAAATAGAATTGAAACAAAAAGTATTAACAAAACACAAGAAGGTTTAGTTTGAAGAACGGTGAAAAACACTACATACATTCATCTGTATTTTTTTTTTGAAATTTTCCAATGACGTGAGACTCAGTGTATTCTTATAATGATAGACTCTGTGATTTACTGAGCTGGATTTTATCATATTATGCAACGTGGCAGAATGGCTGAGGTCGGTTGAAATAACAATAAAGCAAATGTTTTTCCATGGCACACAGACACTCACTCTGCTGATGGGTGTCAGACTAATTTCCTCTTGTCTGAGAGTGGTGAGCGGCCTAAACGACATTCCAGTCATAAGCCCAGACATCATTGAGCACTGAGAGGAAATCTTCATGTGCCCTGTTATCACCCACGCTGCCTGGTTGGTACTTATAGCCATGGAAAAAAAAAAGTACAGAAACAGAAATCAGATTTACTGTGAGGATAATCGTATTTCTTCAGCCCCTTCATGTGAACACACTGCTGACAGGGAGACATGAAAGCATATGTTTTCTTTTCATCTTCCATTTCCTTTTCACTACAGATGTGAGAACTGTGTGGAGATGCTCTTCGTTCGTGGTTCGGGGAATTGCGTACAGTGCGACACTCCCCTCAGGAAGAGCAACTTCCGTGTGCAGCTCTTCGAAGACCCGTCGGTAGATAAGGAGGTGGAGATCCGCAAGAAGGTGCTGAAGATGTGAGTGAGGGTGTGACTGGTCGGGCGAGAAGGGGGCACGCCTCCCTCCTCTCTCTCTCTCTCTCTCTCTCTCTCTCTCTCTCACTGTGTGTTTATGTGTCATTTCATTCCCCCGCCCCCTTCTTAAGCCACCTTTGTCTTTCTCATTACACTGTTTGTTTTGTAGACAATGAGTCTCCCCATGGGGGGGCTCAAGCTGGAAAGCTCCTCTCCCCGCGGTTTTTTTCCCCCCCCCCCCCCCCCCCCCCCCCCTCTCTATCTCTCTCTCTCTCTCTCTCTCTCTCTCTCCTCCCTCGGCCTCTCATCTGTTCTTTAATAGCCCCTTAATTGACATCTAATGTGCGTCTATTAGGCAGTATGCAGACATGGTATTATAAAATGGTTGATTTAATGGAAGCTATTAATGTCAGTGCATATCTGCTTTCATCAGGTTTCATTATTTGTGTGATGATTCCTCTCTCTCTATCTCTCTCTCTCTCTCTTTCTTCTCCCTTCTGCAGATACAACAAGAGGGAGTTTGACTTCCCCAGCCTCAGAGAGTACAACGACTACCTGGAGCAAGTGGAGGACATAGGTATGAGACAGATGGGAGGCCTCAGTCCGCAGCACAGGCACCAGGTTTATGGGAATAATGATTTCTCCTTGACTTTGGCTGCTGATGTTTTACAGCCATCCGTGTTTGCCAGTAGCATGGATCAGGAAGTAGCTCTGCCAACACTAACACATCTCAGTTGGCAGGTCCACATACACTGACCAGTCTCTATGGTGGAGTGAAACATTTATAACCCCCCCATAGGCCCAAGAAAATCATGACCATAGGCTGCCACTCTAAAACAGACGTGTGTAAAACTGTTGACCACACACTCTGAGCGACTGTTACTCTTTATTAAACCGTGGAACCACAGGGGTTCAATATAAATTCTTCCATTTCAGAGCATAGGAAAAACAAATTATTTACTTGATACCTCGTCCATCGTGTGTGTGTGTGTTCCAATCTCATCAGCACCACCTAGGGTTCCATGTCTGTCAACAGTAAATGCACAGGAACATTATGGGATGTTTCAGTTCACGTGACTAGACTGTAATAGCAGGATCACAGCATTTCAAGGTGCGGTCAAAGAACTCTTACGGTCACATGACATGAGCCGATGGGTTGACGCAAATATTAATGTAAAAAGTACCTCGATGATGACACATTTCAGTGGAGAACAGCCGGACTGTGGCCAACCTGCAGCTCGGGAGCCACATGCGTCTCTTTGCCGGTTTCATATGGAGCTCACGTTCATGTCAGATTTTATGTTTGTGTTTTTGTTCCAATCTCATCAGCACCACCTAGGGTTCCATGTCTGTCAACAGTAAATGCACAGGAACATTATGGGATGTTTCAGTTCACGTGACTAGACTGTAATAGCAGGATCACAGCATTTCAAGGTGCGGTCAAAGAACTCTTACGGTCACATGACATGAGCCGATGGGTTGACGCAAATTTTAATGTAAAAAGTATTTTATGTTTGTGTTTTTTTTACGCTCAAGTCAGTCTCATGACGATGGGTGTTAGCTCTTAGCCTCCTGACAGGTTGGCCGCCCCTGGTACAGACTTTATATAGTGCACTATATTTAATTCCCAACAGAGGCAGTAGAGAGTAGAGAATTATAGTGAATGATTTTGGGGACAACTCGTGTCTTCCACTTCATGACCAGTAGGATGTATAACTGGTCAGGTGACTACTTCCTGTTGGATAAAGTGCTGTTACACAAAGCTCCTATCATTTTAAACTGGTTTAATGAACAACACTGTGTTCAGTGAACAGAATGTAATACAGTAGAACACCATTGGGGTGTGGTCAAATGGTCGGTTCACAACATGGGTGTCGACCAGTGTGTGGCGTTGTCATGTCCATTTGGGCCATAATCTGTGAGGAATTCTTCCAAACAACCGACCAGGATGTACTTAATGAAGTAGCAGTGAGAGTACTGAAGAAAACAATGAGATTTTTTGTTGGTTTTTTTTATCCATTGAGTCAGTGTGCCAGAGGATGACAACAAAGGGTTGGGTTATTGTTGTCCATCGGCCCAAACACTGTTGCTTTGAACTGCAGGCTCTTTCAGCACCAGCTGGCATTCAAAGGCGTGGAACCAGATCTTCACTCTGTTTTGAACACAGCGCTGACTGCAGTTAATTTAGTGAAGTTGAGGTTTCAGTGCTTTTGTTTGTTTGGACAACTTTGTGTGGAAAAGGATGCTGGACATGACGGCACTGCTTCATCCCTCTCTAGTTGAATGGCTGTTGAAAATTAATCTTTTGGTTTGCAAAACATTGTCAGCCCAACTGTTTAAATTTCAACTTTGTTCTTAAGAATAGAAGAAATAATGATTACTGTATAGGAGTTAACAAAATGGAGCAAGATTTATTGATAGTGAGACAAACACAACAAAAGACATGGATTTTTATTTACACTGTATACACATGGACGGGGCCTAAATCACCCAGTAAACAGCACACAGCAGATGATGATACGAGATGAAATGCCTTGAAGTTTTTCAAAAAGCTCTGCCAATAAAAAGGCTCTTCAACAGTCGTTGAAGTTTTTCAAAAAGCTCTGCCAATGAAAAGGCTCTTCACTGCCTCTTCAACAGTCAACTGAATCACAGTCTGTATTTATTGCCATGTATATTTACACGTGAAAGGAATTTGGTTTTGTATATTGGTGCAATATAAGAAAATAAAATAGTTAAAAGAGGTGAAGCCTAAAATACAGTGAGAAAAATATAGTTATAAGTTAAAGTTTCCAGTCTGATTAATCACTGGGTCTTTGAATTAATCACAAATAATAGTGATCATAACTAATTGTGATATATATATTTCACTATCAGGTTAGTGGATAAAAGAGTGTCAGTGTGAAGTGTTGACTTTATTTATCAGTTTCAAACAGCTAACATGTAGAAGCCCAGCTCTCACACCTGCCTGTGCCTGTCGACTCCCTGCTTTCCAATAAAGTCAATCAGTGTAGTAGTAGTAGTAGTAGTAGTAGTAGTAGTAGTAGTAGTAGTAGTAGTAGTATTACACCATTGACTTGGGTTGTGTCTCTGGGTTTGGAAAAGTAATTTTTTCTCGCCTTTCCTGCGTAGTTTACAACATGACAAACAACGTGGACGTGGAGAACACCAAGTTGAGGATGGATCAGTATCAGCGGGAGAACAGGGATCTCATTCAGAAGAATAAGGCTACTCTTGTATGTACCCTGAGCTCTTCTCCATGCCTGTAAAAACCTGATGAAAGAGGGTGATGTCCTCTCCTGTCCTGCTACCCGCTCTTCTCTCCTTAAGACCCGAGAGCAGGAGGAGCTGGAGGAGCTGCTGCTGCTGGAGAAGCAGGGGAACGAACAGCGGAGACTGGAGGTGCTGCAGGAGGAGCAGAGGCAGCTGCAGGCCAGGAGGAAGAACAAGCAGGCTCTGCTGGATGAGCTGGTGAGAGACTCACACTCACATAAGCTCCACGTCCACACAGAGGATGAGTGCCACGAGGCCAAAAGACAAGCAAAGTGCAAGTCACCTTATGACAGATGTCTGACACACACGTAGCAGCACACACACACACACACACACACACACACACACGCCCTCAGCCTCAGGGTTCATGGCTGTGGGATCATTAAGAGCTTATTACCAGTCATTGTGCTGCAGGCTGCATTGTTCTCATTCTGTGATTCCAAAGCCTCCTGGCTCCATTGTGTTGAGCTGTGGGCTTTGGAAGTGATTGTTCCTGCAGAGTGGACTGCTGAAGGACCATCACAGATAGCAGTCTAAGCTGTGTATTTGTTTGTTTAAGGCACAGGGTCTGTTGATTGTAGCCCGATGAGCTCAACTCACACTCCCTCTGGGGGGCACTCTCCTGATCTCTAACATCTTATTGTCAATGTTGCCAAAAAACTCACTGCCCTGGCTTGAATATACAGTCATGGGCCAACGCTTATATTTAGATGACTTTGTTGCTATTGCTGAGAGTGGTGACCGACAAGTCGATAACATTTATAAGTGTAAACCCTGTGTTTGCTGACGTTTCCTGAAGAACATTTTAATTTTACAGTTAAAATCTTTCATGTTTTTGCATAAAAAGTTCACATTTTACTGAGGCTCCAGAGACAAAATTATATACTTCCCTCCCCTTTTAACTAAGCAAAAAGTGTTTCTAATCTGCTTTAAGATAAACAGGGAAAAGTTTCAGAATAAATACCAAGATAAATTCACTTACAAAAAGTAATTTTCAAAACATTTAAATACGTCAAAAGTGAGGTTTCAAAATGCATAAAAAGGGGTTGGAGCAACATCGAGAAATGAAGAAAACCTCAAGCGTTCTGCAGGAGAACTGGCTCTTGGTCTTCATTTAGTCTTCCAGCACAGCACCAACCCAAAGTACTGGTTGGAAAATATCTCCAATAAGTTGACTGACTTTTACAAAGCCCTAAATTAAATACCATAGTGTAGTGAAGGAGAGACGAAGGTCCAGACCAGGAAACCATCAAGTCTGTAGAAAAGACTGATCTGGGAAAACTCAGGAGTCTCTGATTCATTTGAAGGAATAGTTCACGTGTGTGCGGAAGTAAAAAAAAAAAAAAATCTTTGAATCTCTGAGGCATTTATATGTAGAGAGTAAAGTATGTTGTATTATGAAAATTATTAGTCATCTAATGGTTTGTTTTTCTATGCCAAGCCACTTCACCACTGTCCTTCCATTGTGGTCCACCCTTTCAATTACACCCTGCTTCCTCAGTGAACAACATGTCCGAGCTTGTGTTTTTAGACCTCTGCGCTTGGCACGGCTCCACCGGAGAAACTGAAATGTCCGACCTTGCATTTAATGGAGGTGAAGGCGGCGCAGTGCACTTGAAGCAGCGTCCCCCTGCAGTGCCATAGTTTTGTTAATATGGCTTGCATCAACAGTGTGGCTGCGAATTCCGAAAGCATCGGTTGTTCTGTTTGAAAACAAAGGGGGGGAGGGGGAGGATATCGCTGCTTCTTTTTCTTTTTTTTTAAATGCAGCACTTGTAGAATGTGAAAATGGACCAGGACTTTCTCACATGACTTTCTCACATGCCATTTTTTACAAACTGAAAACTGTTCAAATTGTTACCTAATTTCTGAAACTTGAAACAAATCAGGATAACATTTACAGACACCTTTTAATTTAATATAATAGACATTACCAGGTTTTAACACACATCTGAATTATTTGTGCAGGAAAAGTCCCAGGTTCCCGCCACCATCTTGTTGGCTCAACACAAGGCCCGTGCTGCTGAGCTGGAGGTGGAGATTGAACATCAGAAACAGTCGGTCAAACCTGCAACTCTGTTTTCAAGTGGAATCCAGGTGAGTACAACATTTAAATATTAAATCTGTTGGAGAAAAGTGTTGCCATTTTTTTTTCCTAATCCAGCGCTGTGGGTAATTCTGCACAACGTGTGTCGGCTTGGCTGTTACTGTCCCAGCTCAGTGTCGCACACGTTTCACCTTGGAAAAGTCACACGGAGCATACATAACAAATGGCTACTATATTTACAATGAACACGTGCAGGTTGAGGTCACAGGGCTGCATCTTTTTGGCCAAGTGTTTTGAAAACTGTGTAGGTCATAGTATGTAGTTGTTTTGTTTTCAGTGCAGTTCTAATTTAAGCCTCATGTGAAGAGGTAGTTGACAGTGGAGCAGTTTGAACAGCCCAGACCTTCACAAGAAGGAATTTTGGGACATGTTTCGTTGTTTTTTTTTTCCTCAGAGCATCGGGCCATCGCTCTTTCGATCTGGTCATTGTAATTCCCTGTGGATTAGCAGTGTGACCTACGTTGAGAGAACACGGGTTCAGGGCTCTGCTCAGTCAGGAACTTATATCTCCGACCTCATTGTGTCTGGAGAGACCTTCTGTTTTTGCCTGTCGTTCAGGTTTAAAGTCGTTTATTTTCATTTTACTGTGATGAGATAGGCTGTGTCATCACCCCAGCCCTCAACAGGAACCCTCATGGGACATGGTTGTCTTCCCATAGTTCAGTGGTGCGTAAGAGAAAGATCTACCTAGTACGCATCAATGCAGTATTCTAGCTGTATGTTTTGACATGCTCACGTATACCAAAGCCCTGATGTTTCAACATCTGTTTCACCTATTTTCAATGTGTTTCTCAGAGGAGTTGTAAAATGTAGTATAAAAAAACTGTTAGACTTTACGCAAGGTATTATGGTATTTTATTTTTTAACTCTTTAACCAATGATGAGTCCAAAGACACTGCAGTGAACTAAATGGAAGACAGGATATTCTGAAGCTCGTTCCCTTGATATATAGCATGAAGTTAAAGTTGCTGATGGAGAGAGAAACAGCATGAATATGTTGATCTTGGCTTCCTCCGCGGCTGTTTTCCTCACGTCTTTCCTCCCATTTCTCCTCGTCCTCCCGTCCCTGAGCTCCTGTTGGTGGAGCAGAGCTCTCACCATGCATCTGCTCCGTTGGACTGAAGAGTCTTGAGTCAGGGGAGTGTGTGGGTTTGGATTTCCCTTCATCTTGCAGACCATGCGAGTGACTTCTGTTTGACTTGGTGGAGTTTCAGCACAGAGCGGTGGATTCCTGCAGATCGCTGGAATTCGTTTATCTGCGAGCTTGTGGTCCCGTGTTCCAAACTGGCTTTTTTAGTTTTTCTTCAGCAAAAATTAGAGGAGGCAAATGTAAAGTCACGGCTGTGAAGCTGGGCCACATTTATATTCTACTTTTGTACTCAACTGTGAATCTCTGCAATCTGTGCAATAGAAACTAAAATATGCAATTTTGAAATGCACTTAAACTAATAATAAATATGATCTTGACTTGTCAAGACTCGTCAAAACAGTCCAAAAACAATCATACAAGTAACATATAGAAAGGCTCTTCAACCATAAGACTGCCAACATCTGGAGACTCCTCATATCTTTTGACAAAATTAATAACTTCTTATTAATATTGTCAAAAGATGTGAGAAGTCTCCAGAAATGTTTTCTGTGCAAAGCATGAGCTATACACCTTAAGAGTGTATTGGGCTAGAAACTATCATGCTACAGTATTATACATGACTATTAGGCTCAGCTGAGTTCACTGCCACATCAAACCTTTTGGTCAGTGTAGAAATACAAAAAAATCCCAGTATTGGGAATTTGGTCTGTGAAGTTCATCCATTAAACATGTGAACAGTGACAGTCGTGACTGGACTGGATGTTTATTCATATCCATGATTTATTTCATTTGGATGCTTTTGGTGATGTTCCTCTTCATGCGTCACAAACTAAAATACTCACTGAGCCCCTACCCTTTACCCCCGACCAACACCAACACCAACACCAACCCACTACCACCACTATCACCAACTGCCCCCCCCCAGCACTCGAGCCAGCTGCCTCACCCTGGGCCAAGGTGAGCCGTCACCGCTGCTATAACAAGTCTGCCTCTCTGTGAGCTGCCCAATGTGTGGAACGTGAGGATGCCCATTCTTCCCTTAGCTTTCCAATGACTGCGGTCCTCATTTGAAGCCTGATCTAATGCTGGATGTAGTTCTGTCATGTTGTTTACTGGAGACATCCCCGAGGACGTCTCGGCTGTGTTGGCACTGCGCTGGGTGAAAGATCAGGACCCCGAGCCACTGTATTCTGGTAGTGTGTAAACATGCAGGGGGATGGATGCTTGAGGAAGTCGGACAATCTTTAGGGAAAGTCTTCTTTGGTCCAGGTGCCATGTGGGACGGGATGAGCCTGGTCATGCCTGAGGAATGGTCTGAAATCACGCGCTAATCCTTCGCTTTGTAGGAACTCCATTGAACTGAGCTACACATACACCCGATACCCATAGGTTCATGCTGTTGCACACACACACACACACACAAATGCACGGTCCCCTCCTGCCCTCCCTTCACCTAGTCTGAGTAAACATCCTTTGAAGAATTAAGTGTCTTTTAAAAATAGAGGGCCGGTGATATCAAAAGAGACTCTCTGTGTGTGAGGGAGGAAACTGTTCGCTGTTTAAACAGCTTGGTTGTTTTTGTCTGACACACAAGACCAGTTCTGGTGCTGAACACGAAGATGAGAAGAGAGTCATCATCCTTGGCACCTGCTCTGTCAACACAAACTGATATGACTTGAGGGCTATCAGCATACGATTAATTCTCCGCCGTTTTGACACATTACAAAAAAGGGGTTATTATGTTTTCAATTCAGTCAAACGTACGAGGATGGGAATGATGTGAAGTGGCCGTCACGTCTCCTTTCCCTAAGCAGTCGATGGATCAGCAACTAACTTCACCGTCAGAGGTTTGAGTTCTGCTGGACCTCCGTCCGGTTCTTATTCGTCCTCAAAGAACAGCTGACATACCTGTTGGGGCCAACACGGGTCCCTAATGAAAGCAGGACACACACACAGTCAAATACACACATACAGCCAAACGTGGGTGGAAAGCTTATCCCTAAACATAGATGTGAAGATGCCTGACATAACCCCAGGTTCTCACCGGCTCTGTTCTGCTCTACACTCTGTCGTTGAGAATTTGACAACTACTAAAACCTCACACACACACACACACACACACACACACACACACACACACACTGGCTCGAGCTGTGAGCTTGTTTGCTCAGGGTCTGTTTTAGTTAGTCCAGTCGTCCTCCAAGGTGACCTCTGCTCAGAGCTCGCCTGCGCAGACCGAGCTCCGCTCAGCCTTTGTCTGACAGACTGGACAGACCTGTTTCAGCTCGGCGTCTGCTGCACACGTACAGCTGGTGACTCCCACTCACTCTTTCATGAACTGGCAGTTAATTTTTATAGAGACTGTTTGTCGACGTAAGGCATTGTGGGAAATATGATATGTTGTTTTAACTGACTGATTAAATTTACTAGTTGTTGTTGACACCCACTGATTAATATTTTCCCTATCAACGATTACATCTATGATGTCAGCAGTGTATTTGGTTTTAACTGCAGAATCAGGGATTGTTTTGAAACATATTTATTGAAAAATAATTTCATTTTTTTAATGGGTCACAGAAAGAAATATGGTTCTATACTCCACAGCAGAGGCTTTAACTTTTGGTTAGTTTAAAATAGACACAAATAGAGTTCTGTGGAATAGACTGGCATCTTGTCCAGGGTCTACCCTCAGGTCATAAAAAATATGGCAGTATTACAGCACCAGAGTTGGGTTTGAATGGTTAGCAGCATTAGCTTAGCCTCGGCTGAGATATTGGTGATTCTTAATTCTATAATTTTAAGATAATTAAATATCCATGGAGATATTAATGTCATTTAAAAAATGTTGGCACTTTTTTGGAGGTGTACAGCACCATACAATGGCAGGTCATTTGCTACTCTCTAGACCTAAATGCATAACTATAATATTGTTTCTATTAAAATTTTTCTCTGCCTTTTTTTTTTTTTCAAATTTTGTTTCCAAATGATGTTTTTTGTATGTTTGATAGTCCATAACCTCTGGCCTTTGACCTTTCCTTTTATTGGATTGTTGGCATTCAGGTTAATGCCTGCAAGAGCTTGAAGAGTGGTGGGGGGTTCAGCCTTGGCAGTAAAGAAGACTATCAAGACTGATTGGCACCAGCATATGTGGGCATTCACACCCCAGACTTGGCTCCATGTGAGTTGGGTTGAGCAGCTTTGCCAGTGGGCCAGCCCTCAGAGCAAAAAAACAGAGTTGTCAGCCTTAGGGGCTTTTCACTGGGGCAGCTGCCACTAGTCGGGGAGTTATATTTAAATCTGTGAGTAGAGGGGAGGCACGGTGTGGCCGGTGGCTACTTGCTGCACAGTGGGTAACTCGAAGCCCATTATCCGTACGGAAGCACTGGTCCACGGCAGAAGGTGGAAATAACTCACTGTCTACGAAAGCTTGATAGATTTTTATCACCTACACAACGACCACTACTGTTTTAGTGGCCGAAAATTAGTGCCAAGAATCACTGCGTCACCGTGTCCTGATGACCAAACGGTGTTGTGTTTCAAACAACCGCGTGTGTTTTTGTGTTTCTCTGATGGATGGGGTGCTGATTGAGGAGAGGTCTGTGTCTGAGTGACCTTGGCGTGTCCTGCTGAGCTGCATGTTTGGGGGAGACATGGGCTGCTGCTGATGAAAATAGTGTGTGCGTGTGTGCATGAAAAAGTCACGTGGTTGGCAGGACATTGGTTGTTGTGGCCTAGCTAAAGGACAAATTCAAATAGAACATCCATGTTTTCAACTTTCCTGTCCAACATTTTTATTACATCGTTCGTAAAACTGTCGCAGAACTCTGGGCCTCACAAACGTCACCTCTCTCACCTGTTTACAGAGCTGAACACCATGTGCTGTTAAGGCTGAAAAATCATTTGCTCCTATATTAAGGAGACCTCGGTGCACCAATCCAAGCAGCTCATGTTTTTGATCGACTTTGGCACGGTCAGAGCTGGGCTCCGTGGGCAGACCTCCCATACCTTAGGAGCAATGTGACTTTTATGAGACCCCGGCTCCATAAAAGTCACATGAATGTCCTGTGCATCACTGATGGAGTAACTTTGACTCTGTGTCAGATTCTACTGTCAGCATAGATGAGAGTGAAGTGAGATCATAGCACAAGTTACAGCATTCCTTCCCCTGATTGGACGGCTGGTGTTGGACCGGGCCAGCACACCTGTCACCTCCACCGACCCAAGCATCGGGTCAATACTCTTTGGCTAATGTTTCAAAATGATAACAACATCTGGTTTTGCTGGAATATACATTTCAACTCTCCTGCCTCTTCAAATGTCACCCAATTTTTTTTCCCTAAAATTTGCACCAGTTTTTCTCAGAACTTAAAAAATAAAGATATTCATGCTCATGGGAATTTGGGAATGACTCGTCAAAGGTAAATTCAAGCAAGGTAAAACTAGATCAGCCCTGAAGACAGCTGATCTCGTTTTAATGGTGTCCCATTGCCACATGGTGGCTACATCTCTGTGGCACAGGGACAGCTCTGGACACTTGAACTGTGTCCAGAGCTGTGTCCAAAGATAGCGGCACTAAGACTTAGGTCCATTTTTATTTCACAATAATAATACTAATTATAATTTCAATACTATTAGAACTACTAATACTACAGATACTAATAATAAAAACCCAATAATATAAAAACCCAAAGACTCACTTGCCTGATGAGGACAGACACAGTAAAACAGCAAAAGGATAATATTCACAATATATGCAATTAATATAAAATATATAAACAAGTATTAATATTATTATTATTATTATCGTCAGGATTATTATTATTGATAAGGTAGCATCAGTGTATTGCTGTCCCTGTGTCTTGATCTGAAGTACGTGTTGAAGGATCAGAAAACCAAAAGAAGAATTCCCTCCGGCTCAATGGTGATTTCCTTAAATCATCTTCCCTGTGGTTTTATGAAGATTAATGGACCCTAGAGTTTCATTTCAGAGTCACGGGGGCATTATAAGCATCTTAAATACCAGTTCCATAGAAACTTGAAAGCATCATAAGGGCACACATACCTTTGTGTGTAGTTAGGAGGCCCTCAGTGATGGTAAAAGCAGATGTTTGTGTTAGCCTCTTTAGTGCTCCAGTGAACCCCCCCAACCCCAAACCCTCCACCCGGACAGCCTCGCTTCTTCAATGGTCGTTCACCAGTGAATTTGCAAAACAGCATTCACACACTGTAATCAACACACACTTCTAATGGGATGTGATGAGTTCACGACTGACAGTCTCAGCAGTGTTGAAGGATGAAGCACGAGAGAAGAGTAAGAGTGAAGAAAGATGGCCCTAAATTAAACAATATTTTTCTGAAGTCGTATCTAAGTCAGTTTTTTTTTAGTTTTTTTTTAGGTTTGTCATATTTGTATATTTATACGAACATTTCCTGTGAATGTGCTTCTTCTGTGTCTTTCTGGATGTGAGTCAGTTTTCAATGTGGCCGAAATTGAGCAGCGGCTCTGGTGCCTGGAGTTCCTTGGAGTTCAGATTTACTCACTGTACATTTTACTCCCCCGTTGCCTCTCCAGTCTCCGTAGACTTTTCTTCCGTTGTCTCCTCTGCCCCGCCGTCCCAGTGTGTCTCTTTGATTTGTGCAGTAGGGGAGTTAACAGCACTGAAAGTCTGAGAGAAGATGGATGGAGAGGCTGAGGGAGTGTGAAGGAGAGGGAGAGTGACCGGGTATGGGTTTCATTAGCCTGTAGTGGGCCTCTACTGTGTCGGATGAATGATGGCAGAGGACAGGAGATCAGTGACACCTCGGAGTCAAAGGTCGAGTGAAAACCATATTGAGGTGTGAACCTAGTATTTTCAGTTTTAAGGTACAAGTATTTAAAANACAAAAAGGTATAACAGAAAACCCCTCCCCCCCCCCCCCCCCTCCCCTCCCCCCCCCCATGAACACAATCACAGCCATTGCTCTTAATCTCCACTGAACTGCTGTTCCTACAAAACACGTATTCTCGTCAAACAAAGGACTTCTCCACTCTGTCACCAAACTCAAAATATTGAAATTAAATTGAAAAAAAAGTTCTTGTCGTAACAGCTGCTACTTTCAAGTACAGGGTGTTTTATCCAGTAAAAGAAATTGTTTTTGTCTTGAAAAGCATAGGCAACACAGTGTAAATGAAAGTCTTTACTCACAGCAGGAAGTCACCTTTATCATTGCTTTGCTGGAAAAACCCCTGTCTTTCCTGCTATTAATGCACTGCTGCTGCCTCACCTGTGTGTATACACCGCTTCTTAATGCAACAGGTTCCGACTTGTGCGGTTAAGGAAGCTAATCTTCATTAAGAGAAAATGTGGTTCCTGTGGATTTGTGTTAAACGTTGTAGCTAGAAAATAAAATAGCCGACATGTTGAAGTCCTTGTTGCTAAAAAGAGTTAACAAAAACTCTCGCTCTTAAAATTGTTTCTTTGTCAAAAATTGTCAAAGTTTACACTGTTGCCCTGTTTCTTTTGCCTCCTCACCCTGATCATTCGTCACTTCTCTCTTGCTTTCTTTGCTTCCAGCTCTGCTTTGGTTTGGTAAATATCCCTGTGTCCATGTGAGCGCTCACTTTGGCCAAGCGCATGTTTGAAGGTTGGACAGTCCGAGGGGCCACGAGGCTCATGTTAGTCGTTTAGTTTGGCTTTCAGCATCTCCTCTCACTGTGATGTTGTTTGCAGTCTTCATGTACTGTTTTCTCTGCTCTATCACTTCTCATCTGTCCTCGCGTCCCAGAACTCCCCTGTGTTCTCTGAGAGAGTTTGTGTTTGTTTAGACATCAACTTCTTAATTCTGGGCCTGTTTCACGACTGGCTTGTCTTCTGAACCTCATTACTTATAATGCCGGAGAAAACAATGTGGTTTGATGCTGTGTGGAAATTCCCCCTTTTGATGGCTGAGGCCCAGATCGAACAATTCTTCAGTGTCTTTTAGAGGAACCACATTTCTCACTCCGTCATCGTGGTCAGAAGAATTAGGAATTGTAGTGGTCAGACAAAATAGACCAGTGATCAACAACTGGTGGCCCGTGGGCTGAATCTGGCCCACTGGACCATCCCATCCGGCCCACAACTATAATCCAGAATTGTGAGGATCAAAAAATATATGTATATATATATTTATATATATGTGGTTCCCATTGTTAAAGCAACTAAAAAAATTCAGACTTAAGTAACTGTCATTAATCCACTCCTTTTATGACTCCATCTACATTCAGTTAGACCACATGTGTCAAACTCAAGGCTGGGGGGCCAAATGCGGCCCACTAAGTCATTTTGTATGCTCCACAGGAGCTTAAAAAGCATTTAATAAAGTCAAGACAACTTAGACCAAATTTCTATTTTTAATTTTATTAAAATTCAAATCATAACTCTCCAGATCTCAACCAGCTTTTATAAAGTACTGACCTAAAGGTTACGCTGTCCTGACAACTGACAATAGCTTGTGAGTTCTTTTGTTCCCTGTAGTCAGGGACACACACGCTGGTGTGTTGTGACGTTTTTAATGGTAAAGTTCATTTGTATCTGTTTAGTATCCCATCAGCCACAGCTGTTGAGATGCCGACATCGTGTTGACCACTACAAAAATGCTGTGTCATTGTTTCAACAAAACCGACGTGAAAATGTCTTGTATTTCAAACCGGTCCTTCAGGTGCTGCTGGGTTATTATTGTTGCAGTTTGATTGACACTAAGCCTTTAGTATTGAATCGTCCATTTATAGGCAGAATGTTTCCATTGTCGTACTGCGTAGTAAACGGAGACAATGAAGATTATTGTGTGGTATTAAGTCCTGTCTTTCGTCTGTACTTTGTCTTTCAGCGTCAGACCGTGTCTCTCCTGCCTCCTCCAAAGATTGAGGAAGTCCTGTACAAGTACAAAGCTCTTCACATTGAAACCTACGGACCCCTGGTACCGGAACTGGAACAGCTGGGAAGAATAGGGTATGTGTTTATTTTTTTTACATACAGTATTACCATCAAAACACTTACTCAACAATACAGTATGTTAGGATTAAGAGAGTGTCACTATCTCTCACCTGAAGGGGGAGCTGTAAAGACTTTCTGATAGGAAAATATTGCGATATTTCATTTGATTTGAAGTTTCCACAAGAACAAGTCAGACATTTGTCTAGACCAGGTGTGGTCAAACCATTTGACTCGTGGGTAACAATTGTCCTAAAATTGAACAGGGGGGCCGAGTAAGGAGCAGAAAGATGGAGCGTTCAAGGCACATGTACAATCACAATACCAACCAATTATATAATTTGGACAAGTTTGGCGGGCCGGGGTACAAAGCTGAACGGGCCGCATCCGGCCCTCAGGCCTTAGTTTGCCCATGCCTGGTCTAGACCCCCGATATGGAGAAGCATTATTTTGCGTCTTAGTTCTATTTAGGTTTTGAGATGTAAACAACAGATGTAACACTGTAGAACTGATTGTTCACCTCAGGTGTTTAGACACGGCATAACAAAACACACCTGTTTATTCAGAAATTAGTTTTTGGTTTTGGAGCAACACTTGAAACTACTGGGTGTAATGTCCACAGGTTAAAATTTCCTCAAGGCTCATCGAGGTCTCTTGTGAAATACAGGCAAACAGAAAAAGGCTGATGTCTTTGCAGGTGAACACGAAACAGGGAAGTTATCAGGAATGAGGAATAATAAGAACAAGGGTAACAAAGGTTCTTTGAATTTGTTTTGTTTCCCCTTTCCTCAAACATAGTTTTTCAAAGGCCACACATAGGGACGGTGTGTAGTGTGTGTTTGGGTGTGTGTGGGGTGGGAAGCTTCTAGAAAGTCAGTCTGTTAAGAGAGCCTGCCTCATCTCACTTGACTCTTCACTGATTAACTGCGAGTTAGAGCGTATGAAGAAAGAGAAAGAGAGGGAAAAACAACCATCGCCCTGCCACAAGTCGCCACAGTGCCTCCGACGAAGCCTCCATTAACACACAGGAAGTGCTTTCCCCGACGGTCCCTTTGGGCAAATCAATCCAGGACGCCACTGGTCCGGGTCCTCACCGTATGTTAGCTCTCCATCAGACAGTGCAGCGCCCAGCCGTCTGCTCTGCAGCTGGATGGCACTAAAACCTCGCCACACTCCGAGGCTGGCCTGTGTTTATTGGGTGACAGCAGCAGAACAGGACATAAACCTTGACGTAAAGAAGGATAAGTTTCACTCTGACGGCCGTCTCTATACGCAGTAAGATAAGAATTTAGATGAAGAATTTCTCCTTTGTTATTATTCTCTCTGATAATTAGGTTAAAATAGAACACTAGACTAGAACTTTTTCTCCTAGATTGCGAAATACCACGCACTTATTTATTTTATGTATTCAGTGAAGTGCTGAGGTTCTACTTCTTTTGGCCGGGATGATCAATTTTGCCGCATACTGGAGCCTGGGAGAAAGGGGTGTGGGGGGGGGTGAGAGGGTGAGGGGAGTGGTGTCAGCAGTTCAGGGTTCCAGCTGGACCAATGCTGGAGAGGAACAGTTCTGCCATAGAGATGAATAAGGTCCAGATCAGGAACATCCACGGCACTGGTGCAGATGCTGGGACCAGTGACAAAGTCATTCCCAGTTCAGACCGACCACAAACCCCCAAGATGCAAAGTGCTTTCAAGTAAATACTGCTGACACTTCCGTAGCACTGATGCTGTGGGATTTGGCTACGGTTGAGATTTTCAAATATGTCTAAGGCTTTACTTTGGAAAAGTTGGTGGATTTGCTTAAAATGAAGTTAAAATAGATAAATGAAAGTTTGGTTATAATTATTGTTGGGATTTGATTCAAACTAAAAATTACTATTAGCCTTTGTAATTAATTGAATTCAATCACAATTTATCAGATATCAATATTCAATATTTATAATTTTAAGACTTTTTTTTGGCTTTGAACTAAAAGAAAACTTTGTGTTTTTGTCAGGAACTAATTTTTGTCTGTTTTTTTTTATTCTAAATACTGAAATTACAGGATAATTCAAACTTGAAAGTTGAAACATTATAAATGTGACAGTACAATTTGTGCGGAGATTTTTATTCTAGATTGGAAAAAGCAAAGTAATATATTTTTAAATATGTTTATTTTAAACAAGAAATATTAAGTGAAAACACTGAGGCTGTGTAACCATAATATCATTGCAGTTGTCCATGGGCTACATGTCGTATATACTTATATGTGTGTACGGTGTCACCTACAGTTGATGTTGCACTTTGTATCGTGCACACTCCAACTCACCCCTGTCCTCGTAGTCTCAGCTTTTCTTTTCTTTTTTTGTTGCCACAACAAAAGTTATGTGATGTGGTGAATGTTCACAGTGAGTGTTTGTGTGGAGCGGAGAGAGGAGTCGGGCAGAAAAGGGCGGCCCACTCCTCTGACCTGGGAAGAAAATGTGCTGGGATGTGTGAGAAGATGTGGATTTGTCCGCTCTGCGATGAGGTGAAAGGATGTGAGACGGGGCAGGTACCGATTTTAAAACAAGGCTCTTTGTCTTGGTCCAGACCCACGGTGACAGCAGCACCACTGGTGATTTGTCTTGAACACAGCCATCAAGTCAGACTCCACAGTTGAGCTTATCCACCCCCTCCCCGCTGCTCCAGCCCGGGCCCCAGGGTCTGGTCCCTTGCGTAGGATGTCCAGTCCACGCAGGACTCGCGGGAGCCATGCATTTTTTATTTCAGCGCGCCTCCTCCGACTCTGTATATGCATCCTTTCAGACTTGTCCCTTTGTCCCCCGAAAACAAACCGCAGAAGTGTTGCTCGGCTGCCAGGAAAAAGAAGGGTCATGCCTCTTTTGCTGTTTTGCTCCGTCTCTCCATGCCTCTCTGTCAGCTGTACCTGAATAAATAGAGCTGAGCACTTATATTAAAGACAGCTGCTTTGCTACTGGTGTGCAGTAAAGTCTGCATGTTCCAAAAATGTCCATTCAGCTCCCCCCACTTTGACACACACACACACACACATCGATATCCACACACTCCTCCCCTGATGTGCATAGGTGCTTATGATTTACCACAGAGGATAGAACCCTGACTGTGTGAGGTTTCTTTAATGGCAGTGTAGTGCTGTCCATCTCATTGACTGGCACGTACCCAGAAACATGCGTGAGGCCTGAGAATTACGAGCAGACTGTGAATGTAACACTGCAGCCCGTGCACCAAATGTCCTGCCATGGCTCTTTGCTTTTATGTTGAACAGTAAAAGCCTTCAATAAACAAAATCAAAGTCGAAGTAAATAGTGCTTTGGAGACAGAAACAGAAACATATGATGTTTATGTTGACATGGCTCAGGCGCGAGTGCCAGCACACAGCAGCCAGAGACTGAAACAACAGCTAATTCAACCCCCTGCCTCTTCACTGATGGACACAACCTGAACAGCACTTTGTCTGTATTTGATTTTAAATTGTATTTACGTTCTCAAGCCCGTGTAAGGACATGACGAAGACCTTAAAATCCAAAGATTTAGCAGCGTGCACGTGCGTCTGGATGAGCATCTGTGCCTGGGTTTGTTCTCTCTGAGAATCATTTGTGAGTTCTGCCTGTGTAGGCGATGAAAGACAAACAGCGATCTTGGACAAGGACAAATCATGTGGGGGGAAAAAAAGGGGGAAAGAGAAATTGGCTGCAGAGCGTTGAAAAATCTGACTCAAGCCTCAAGTGCTGACAATGAAAGCTCGCCAGAATAGTTGTTTGTATTGGCACAGCCGCCTCCAAATTAGCCCATCTTTCTCTGACAGAGGTTACTCAACGCACTTTGCCAAATGCCAGTGCGTATAATTTTTTTTTTTTGTTGAAAATTTTCCCCTTCCTTCGCCTTCTCTCACTTTGCATTGCTTTCTATAATTTGTGGGAACAGAATGAGTGGAAACACTCTTCACGTGTCAGTCTCCTGTTTTTTGAGGTGATGGTGAGAAGCTGAATGAGGCACGTGTTTAGTCTGGAGCTCTTCTCCTGGGGATGCACCAGGAAGTAGTCCTCTCATGAACCAGTCTGAGAGTCGAGATTCTTTGGGTTTGTTTGTTAGCATTCTGGAATATTTAAGAACGAAACGAAATTAGGACAAATGATTTGCTAAAATCTGATCTAGCATAGCTTGGTGTTGTTAGAAAATGTCACTCTTCACTGCTTGCTGCCCTTCTTAATCTGTAGTTCACAATCCACCGTCTCTGCTTTGAAGGAATGAATCCATGACAGTGGATGATTAACTGAAGATTCCTCGACTTATGTTGGAGTTCCCTCCATTTGTGGGACATGACTTGATTTCAGTGTCAGAGTTCAGACACTGTACAGAAGTACACAGTATCACTCACAATGCTAACATCATAATCTACATATAAAAAGAGTCTGACTTGGCAAAAAGTTCCCCAGAAAACAACACAAATGAAAGAAAGCGAATGTTGCTCAATCCAACATATGGCGTGCAAGCATCAAATAAACAAAGTCGTCTTCCACATATTATGCTGCGTGACGACGTATATGTGAACTCTACTGGTCAACAAGTTCCCACGTGAACTATCCTGTTGTTTAGTCACGAACATTTACAGCTGCACAATTGTAGTGGATGCTCAGAACTGTAGTAAAAGTAAAACTTCTTTTTGTGAAAAACGTTTTGACCAAATTAGAGGATTATATTTATTCACAACAATAATATCCCAATCTGACATTTGCGTCAGTAACCACACACAAATATTACTTTGTGAACCACAATATTTACTGTATTGTACTCTTGGTACTTAGAGCAAGATTTTTTCACAGTAATTCTCTGACCAATTTGTAGGGTCTGCAGTTGGGACGGTATCCGTATGATTCCCGTTCTCCCAAAGAGACCTGCATCTGGGGTGGGGGTCGGGG